GTTATTTATATTGATGGATTAATTGCTCACTCCTCCTTTAATAACATGTCCGACAAATAGAAAGTTAGAGGCTCTTTAAAATTACACTAATCAGATGTTTACAAGGAAAGGAATTGTATCGCTTTCAAAATGAAACTGCTATGTTTTAATCATCATGAAAAGCCAGTGTGATATCTATTTTGACATCGCTGGTGATAACCTCCAGTAGAAAAAGATATTTGTTTTTTGTTTGCCACTGATATGAATTTAATGATTTTATTGAAGCAGTTGCTAGGTCTACTGATGGTAAAGTTGCTTCACATTGTCGTATTGGAGTATGCCTCTGTTTAGCATCCTTTTACCCATTTGTAAGTGTTCCATTAATCCATGCATTGAATATTGTTACCATGTGTGGTCTGCTGATCATGATAAGTTTCACAAGAATCTCAATAAATCCCAAATGAAGATCAGTACCTTTATCGCTCCTCAGCTGGCACACAGACCTAATTAACTCTTCCACCGTCGTAAAATGTTTTTTATTTTCATGTCAGTTGGTCTAATGAGCTCTCATTCTTGATACGTCGAATTTAAGCCTACAAAAAGATTGGCTACTAATCTTATTATTTTACTGTTACAATACCTACATGCAACCTTACGTTCAGTTGTTATTTAATTTTCTCATGTTTCTTGATTGTAGAAATATTTCGATTTCTTGATTCATTGCCACTTTCAAAAAACGTAAATGAAGTGTCCTCCACAATTTTCTGTTTTAAGAACCCTGTTCATGTGATGTAGTTTCTCCTCATTGCATTCTCTCATTTTCTTTCGCGTACAGAAATCATTTGCATTTGGAGAAACAAAGATCCATATAAAGGCACACATTTCTATCTATCTATCTATCTATCTATCTATCTATCTATCTATCTATCTATCTTCCTACCCATATATATATATATATATATATATATATATATATATATATATATATATATATATATGTATGTATGTGTGTATATGGTGGGCTCTCCTGCCGTATTCGACGTATGAGGGTCAAGCAGCTCAGTTCCTATGAACCGACAGCCCAGACACCAGCACATGTGATTTGCTTATAGTGGTGAAGATTTTGTGCATAGCCAACCACACATTTTAATCCCCTATAGTTAAATACTAGGACAAAATGTGTTCGAAAAACTTGGATGGCAACTTGTCGGGGAGATGGAAAAATCTTAATTCAAAGAAGATCGTTTGGGGACCTTGTGGTACGTAGTGCACGATGTCTCTGTATATATATATATATATATATATATATATATATATATATATATATATATATATATATATATATTAGAGAGAGAGAGAGAAGACACAGAAAGCGATGAGGACGAGTACCTAGAGATACGACTTCCCAAAGCATGTACATAGAAAGATAAACAGGCAAAATAAAGTTCCAGACACAAATTATCAACTCTTCACACAAGATACTGACCTTCCGTTATAATTCATGCAATGCTAGACAAGTAAGGTAATTAACCCCTTCCTTAGACCAAAAGCTAACTAATTCTTTCAAGCGTATTTTTCTCATGATGATATTTATAATGATTCTGCATATCATTTATACCTATCTATCTATGCATGCTTGATAAATCTGTAAGTACTACCTAAATTTCCGACAGTCAACGTTCAGATTTTTCGCACTGTAGACTTCAATATAAAGAATTAATAGAGAAGCATTATAGTAAATAAAATATTATAGGTTTTCTTTACAGAAAACTTTAAATATTTTCTTATAACAGCCGACATTCACTGAATAAATATGCAGCGGTACTTTGTGTTAAATGTTATAAAATATTTATATTAAAACAATTTATCACGAAAGTATGTTTCCCATGTCCACTGTTATTGCTTTTTTATAATATTAATGAATGTTTCCTTCATTGATCTCTATATTGATGGCGGTTTCCATCATAACCTTTTCTTTGAAGTAGTGTGGAACGTGGACATCTTCAGTATGTCATTATTTTTTTATATAAGTTAAATTAGCTATTCACTTTCACTGTTTTCGAAAGCTCTTAATTGATGCAATTACAGTTATTTGATAAAATATTATTATGTAGCACCATTCCGCGAGGTTCGATAAATAAATTTCATCTCATGTATCCCACAGTCTTTTCACACTCTTATTCTCAGCCGTTGGCTCCACTAGATTTGTTGAATAATAGCGAGCTTACGGATCATCCAGCTTTCTTTTCCCTAATCGTTTGATGCTGGGATTTCGTTTCGATAAGGTTGATACGGGTTTCCCAAAATCTCATGCCGAAATCTAGCAATGATCTTCCAATGCACGTTATGTACCGTAGTTATGGAAGAATAATTCTCAACAGCAGTAATTTGTGTCTGTTTGCGTCCATGAACAATGCTAAGAATCAGGTTTGGAATAAGAAATCCTACAATAAAATGCACAGCACTGTTGATAATTCTAATAAAAGGCTTATTGAATATAAACAGAAAATCATAGTCCAGTGAAAAAATTGTCCACTAATTTACCGCAAAAATCAAGTCCTCTCCTTTCTGCTAGGTGATGATTTGAGAATCTAGAAGTAATATCTATAAAGTAGTAGAAGCGACTGCCTGACATGTATGTAACTATGTTCGCTACAGCGATTGAAAATGCGGGTGTGACTCTTGTGGGTTTTCGTGCCTGGTGAGCTGTCGTTTATATACATAACTCTTTCCCAAAAATTTCCATGGTATATCTAATATCTCCATCGGATTGTTTTAATCATAGTCAGTTTATTAATAACTAAATAACATTAGCTTTGAATTTAAAATATTCTGTCCTTTATTTATGTAAAGATAATAGTGTTTTCGGGAGGACAACATCATCGTAAGCAAATCGTAGGGTATTTCAATTAGACAAAATCCAAATTCTATCTTTGTTTAAAATAATTTTGGACGTTCTTTTCATTAGGGATATACAACGGACGGTCTTATAGTATAATGTATACAGCACCTCAGATTTAGGTTCATTTTGCTTGAAACAGGTACTATTAGTTTTTGGGTCAATCCCTTCTTTAAGAACACGTACGTTTTTCACAGATAGAAAGAATGAAAACAATCTTCTAACTAAATTTCTCAAGGTCGACAAAATTCGGGCAATAGATTACTCCTGTCTAATTATCGTCGAGAAAAATATAGTGTGGGGAATATTTGTTTAGTCCTATTTTACTGAATCATAGCGAGTTAATTTTGGGTTCAAATCTCCTTAAATTATTTTTTCTGTTTTAACAACTAATTTTAACCTGTTTACTTTTCATTTTTTTCACAATAATTCAACCTTCTCTCTTGAAAATATTAATCTTTAATTATTCAATTAGTAGTGCCTCCATATCACCACTCTATTTCATGTAATTAAACGTTTAATCAATGTCAGTGACCTGTTACACACCCACCTTTCATTCGCGCGAAGCCATCATTAACAATCTATCTGAGGAAGCGGTTGTCTACTGCTGATAGTTTACCTATGTCTTAATGAGGTTAGATGGCAATTTCGAGCTAACGAGGATTTTAATGTGATGAACCGTATTTTAGATCCAATTTTGTTTTATTACCAATTGTAGTATTAAGGAAAATAAAAATAAAAACAGTAAGATATATAATCTGGTGTTCTTATGGATATTTTTATTTTTATAAAATATAGCTCAATGTAAATTTACAGAGCGTTAATATTATAAAGTAATTGATTTAAAATATGTTTTTTCGCTACACAGTTCTAACCATGTTTTAAAAATGGAAGCTAAAATATATATGAAGTCTTTAGTATTTAATACATTTGTATTTCTAAATTTCTTTTCAGTGCATGGGGCCTCACGGCTTTCTTTCCAATTCGACATTGATCTTTTCTTGATAACTTTATCGTGAACACATAATAGAGGAAGTTGAATTTTTGTTTAACACCATGCATATGTCAGCTACGTGTATGCATGTTATCAAGGTAAGAAGGAAGAAAAATTATGTGTTGTATAAAATGAATTTTCTTGTTACTCTAAAGTCACGGATTTATTGATGGTCATGAATATCAAACAAATTAGAAACACATATAAAATTCGTAGTAAGATGATTAACAGATAACGCAATATACAAAGATGCAAATAACTGTGACAATTGTTTAATAACGTAATGATGCGTGTTATCCGAAAAATTGAGAAGCATAATCCGAGGTGGAAATTTTATGGGATTTTCTCGAAACTTAGCAAAATGAGTATACAACGAATGTATGAATATCGAACACATATCAATGACATGTTAAAACTGCTCTTGTCTCGGAAGTCAGATGAGACAAAAAATATGGTGTTATTCTATCATATCTGTGCAGGATTTGTAAAATCCTACTTTTCGACAATAACAGAGTTCAAAACTCATGTACATACTCTTAAGGAGGAAAAGTCGTTTTCAATACGGTAACCTCGTTTCCAGATACGCAATGTCAAACACTATTTTCAGGGTAAATATTTTAAGATTAGCTCCTTTATTTACTTTCAACATTAATGGAGTTTCCTGATAGGATACACCATATTACTTCCACGAAATCGAATAAACGTCATTTCTTTTGTATTACAGCGATTTTTTAACAATAAATGAACAGAATACTGTGTCAAATCTTCCAGGAACACCTCAATCTTAACGCGTGTAAAACAAAGTGAGATATTTATCTTGACTCCTAATCCACATAATCTTCAATTTCTACCACTTCTCCTTATATCCATATGAAATACCACATCCTTTATTCCTTTACCGACAGTGGCTCTCCAACCGTGTGTTTGGTGAACATAAATAAAATTACGAGAAAATGATGTTTGATCGGAGCTGCCGGTCATTGACAAATATGTTAATTTTACAACAAATAGCATCAAACCAAATTAGATCAAATCACCTCATGATACATAATTGAAGGCACACAGCCTAGCGTTCAGTAAACTCTACAGCGTAGGCTGTATTACTTAGATTTCTTTAAGTTCATTTACCCAATATTTTTGACGGCGTAACGTAGATGTCTTCGTTTCTACTAGGCAAGGAAACATAGATATGAGGCAGTGACGCCATGTTATCTCTTCCTTGAATATTTGTCTATGCATTAGAAAATTAAGAACATTTCCAGCAACATACCTTCAATGGAACTGGAAAATATAAAATCAAGGATGTAATATACTAAAAAAATAATAACTGAAGCATTTTGAAACGCGCTGAATCTTAAATATTGAATGTGATGTTAGAGAGGTTGCAAGTGATATATAAGAAATTAACTACGTTTAAGATTAGATGAGATTTCAATTTTAAACCCTAGAAATTGAAAGCTCTTATAATCATTTTCTGTATTCTAGAAAATGGAGGACCATTAATATTTGGGATAAAATAATCCATCATCTCTGTAAAGACATACTTGATTAGGATCACTAATTTTAAATGTCTAATATATATATATATATATATATATATATATATATATATATATATATATATATAGAGAGAGAGAGAGAGAGAGAGATAGATAGATAGATAGATAGATGTAGCCGTCTCTTATACTCCAATAGCTTCCGGTCTCGCACCTGTCACTTGTTGAACTCCCTCCCCTTTTCTTGTTTCCTTGATAGCTATAATCTCCAACTATTCAAATGTAATGTCAATCGACGTCTCCAGAAGCCTCGATCTATCCTTCTCTTCATCGTTTCCTCTATTACTCTTCTTTGCTCTCACTCACTCACTCTACCCACTTGTGTGCTAGTGGCGATATACCTACTAAATCATCGCTTTGTGCGGAATCATATGCTCCCATAGAAACATCAAATCGATCATTAAGACGTTTAACCCAAATTGAATTGCTACATATTAGTAAATAATGTATATACATACTAAGATAACTTCAATTTCGACATCAGTAATATTAATATAGATTTTAGTAAAATTTAAACTTCTTAATAATAGGTTTTTCGAAATGGAGAAGTAGGAATCAATAATGTCAAATTGGATAAAAGTAGCCTTATTTTCATTTTTATTACTCCGGAATAATTTAATAGTATCCGAAGAAGCTTTCCAAAGATTATTATAATAGGTTTCTTGTATAGTTTGTATTATTTATTTAAGTATATATTTTGAGATTAAGCCTAATTCCCTTTTGGAGGTTTTCATTAATCGTGATTGTAGGTTGTTGTCGAAATTAGATTTGTGATCCTTAAACAGTAAACATGCATTTTTTTATATTAGCTTTTTTTTCAGTCTGTCTGCAACATCAAAATTTATTAGCAAAGTTAGCATCATCTCTTTTAATTGCAGAAATATTTTTTACTGTTATTGCCATTTTATAAGTAATAGCGATTTTATTGAGTAGGTGCTTGTAACACTCCGAGGGCTTAAATTTTTAAATATTTTTAGATTTATCAGTTTTAATATATATTTTTTTTAATTTTTGAAGTTTTTAATAACTTTTTATTTTGTATTGAAATTGGTTTGATTGGTTAAAATTCGATAATACCATTAATTTTGTAGAATTTTATACTTGAAATATTGGATATCATATATGGGTACTAACGTATATGGATACATGCAGCTACAGTGTTTTTGTATATATGATCATTTATGCGGTTTTCTTGCTTACATCGATTATAATCTTAAATTGTGAATTAATTTTCTTTTCTTTATAATTTTAATTCAATTTCATTATGACATTATTAATATTATTATTATTATTATTATTATTATTATTATTATTATTATTAGACATATATCTATATTCATGTGTGCATGGGTATGTATATATGTTTTTTTTATAGAAGTGATAATGTATATATATATATATATATATATATATATATATATATATATATATATATATGTATATTTGTGTATTGCATATATATATATATATATATATGTCTGTATGCATGTGTATGTATGTGCACATATATATATATATATATATATATATATATATATATATATGTTAGCCTTTGATTTTAAATTTTTTGTTAATTAAAAATTGTACTATACTTATGTTTTTTTATTAATTTAATCGGTGTCTTTATATTTACATATTTTAAATTTTCGTTTTTTAAATTAATGTTATTTCTTTATGTTGATGTCAAATATTTTAATGATATTAATAATTTTATTAATTATATCATCATTATTATTATTATTATTATTATTATTGTTATTATTGTTATGGTTCAGATTAGGACCAAGGAAGACCAACTCGAAAAAAAGAAATAACGAAGGCATATTACAAATAATAATACAAGCTGTGGAAAGTGTTAGTATGACTGTCAGTCTGGTTTGGAGTGAACTACTATCGGCTCGACTCGATTCGACCCTCTCTCTTGAGAGGCGTAGCATATATATTTTTAGGAAGAGTTCATTCTATAGTTATAGGTAAGGAACCATGACAATTATTAATATTATTATTAACATCAGTTTGTAATTGAGACGGTTACAATGCAATTATGGCGGTTTTCCTGCTTAAAATATCTAGATAATTTCAATGTATCTATTTCGAACATGATCATTCACTTGTACCTTGTTTCTTAACTTGTCAACACGTCGACTGGCTTAACTCCTTACTTTACTTCTCTCAGTCTCTCTACCTTTACCCTCCACATGTCTATCTCTCATTCGCTTCCCCCGTAAAAATACCTTATATTAAAATCTCTGTATATCTTCCCACAATTTTCTTTACTATTGAAACTTTTTTTTCCTTTTTCTTTTTTCTAACTTTTTCTCTTTTTTTTCTCTTGTGCCTGAATAAACTGAACTCCATTAATTTTCGGAAAATTTATCTGAAGAGATTGACGTCTCAGTCCATGACATCAGTTTACGATTAATGTCTTCTGGAATTATAGGTGACTGTCTGCTACGTCAATATTATCTCCCACCTCGTTTAGATAATCTCCCTACAGTGACTTTAGTAAGCACACAATGTCAAAACTCCTAGAGAATGGACGCCTGTTATACGAAGAGGCATGCGGTTCATACATGATGGGGCTCCAGCCCATTTTAATCACATTGATCGTAATGAACTGGCCGACATGAAAGATGGATAGTTAAAAGAGAACTGGTTCCATTGCATGCACTTTCCTCTAACCACAATCATTGCTTTTTTGTTTTTGTTTTTTTTTTTTTTTGTGTCACCTATAACTATTGGTTTATACAGCGGATATTATTAACGCAGAGACATTTCATCTCCATGCCATGTGGGCCCTGCGAAACCATTCAACACCGTGTAAGAATATTTGAAATGGTACGCCAGTAAATGATCCGACGGCTGCATGCGTGTGTAGATGTTAGCAGGGGAGATTTTGAACATTTGTTGTGATGAGGCCTTTTGAACCTGTATTTTTGTGGACATTTTACCTTGTTTTGATATAACGAACCCGTCTCCAAATTATGTAAGGATGTTTCTGCAATCTATCTTATACTGTGCTTTTAACAGCGTGTACATTAATAACTAAAAACAAATGATTTTTTTATATATTTTTATATGGACTTTTGTCCTTGTTTTGTCATAAGGAGCTCGCCTCAAATTTTGTAAAGCATGTTAAGATTATACACATGTACGTACGCGTACTTATTATTATTATTATTATTATTATTACTATTATTATTATTATTTGCAATATGCTGACTACTTTAATTCAATTTTGCTTTAAGTTTTTGAATGATTTAATAGTTGTTCTGAAATAAAATCTTCGGCTGAAAGAAACCTCATCAGAATATTTATATCAGAAAGCTTTTTTCTTTGATTGATATATATATATATATATATATATATATATATATATATATATATGTGTGTGTGTGTGTGTGTGTGTGTGTGTGTGTGTGTGTGTGTGTGTGTTATTTTTATTATGTATTTGATTGTTTAAAAAAAAGGAAATTTATTGTGTACTATATGATAATCGCAAACGTGTTTTTAATATGTGGACAGAATTTAGCTTCAGTGAAATAAATTTGCCACTATAACAGTAATAACTGCCTTTTTGTCATTCAGTATTTGTGAAATCTATTAGAGCCTCTTGTATTCTTATCAAATTTATCGGATCAGTGACCCAGGTTAATGTCTTGGAACAGATTACAATTGATACGTCAAAGTTATCAAACGTTTTGGTCAGCAATAGTGAATTGATCATGTAGCAATTCAGTTGCAATTTAGCCTAAAGTGTCATAATTCAAAAACAACTTTGTATAAATTTCTTATTATTAATTGCATTCGTTTACGCACGATATTAACCAGAGTTACGTTTACAGAGTTGAATATATTGATGACTGGATGTGGGACAATATCGTATCAAATAAAAATATTTAATTTGTATATTGAAATTTGAAGTTGATTTGTCGAAGTTTCGTAATGAGGAAACGTCATTATTGTATGCCTTGTTATTCAGATCAGTAATGGAATCTTCGTTGTGATGGTTGAGGCTTCATACCTTCCAAATATGTAATAGTATCTCAATTCATATTCAGTGTTTATATTAATCAGAAACATCGCACGTTATAGAGTGAATTATTTCAGTGCAATTATAAGACCGTATATAATTTCCCGTCTGTGTAAATATTAAATCACTATTTTACGTAAATTTTATAAAGATTATTCACTCAGAAATTAATTTTAATTTACACTTTTCTTTATAAATTTTCTCATTTCTTTCAGTGTTGAAGAAAACCAGGAAAGAGCTAATTACGAAATGGAGATATGAGAACAGATTAAAAATTACATAAGAATATATGCATATCTATGTATGGGTGTGTGTGTCTACGTATGGTTAGCTATATCCATGTATGTGGGTACGCACCAACTGCACAAAAACATGCTGATACATGTGTGTGTATGTGTGTTGGATAGCTCAATTTATGAATCTATCAGTAAACAGATTTACCTAATTTTAATTGGTTCAAAGGTTAAATCCCTCATAAATTATTAATAAAATTAATCACTTAGGGTCTAGATATTAGTTACTGTAAATCCCAGGTAAAACACACTTGTTATCATACGGATCACTCCATAGTAGCAACCGAAATTTAGTTACAGATGACGAAAGGCATAAATAACATCT